TTTTTTTTTCTTTTGTGTTTCGTTTTTCTTAATATTAAACTTGAAAGTTGAAAAAAAAATACAGGAACATATATTTTATTTTTGAATTAGGTAACAGAGATGTGATAAATGAAGAAGTGAAGTGGCAGACAAAAAAAAAAAGCAAAAACAAAGAATAACTCGAGAAAACATTTAACCAAAAGGAAATTTGTGCTTAAAATTACTGACTTGGCGAGAATTCATAAACAGCGGTTTAGCAGGTAGCCGAACTTCACTCGGCATCTTACGCTTTTTGCCCGAGTCACCAACAGGTTGTTCGTCGTGAAAATCGGTACAGTCGATAACAAAAAAGCCAATTATTACACAGGAGCTGACCTTAACACTAAGAAACTTACATTTATCTGATAGCTGACAGCTGTTCTTTTTTTTTTGTCTTATAAACAGTGTGTCAGTTAGCTAATAAATGAAAAAAATTATTTTCCCTCTAAAAATTTCATCAAATACTTGATAACTGAACTGAACGTTGACCGGCTTACGACAAGCAGTATCAGATTTGTGGTGTAAGAATGTTAAGCAGATTTCCTAGCTTATTTTTTTTTGTTAATCTTCAATTTTTTTCACCTTCCAGTGTTTTTTATCCTCCTTCCTTCAATCGTCAAAAAAGAGGAAACTTTTTTTTAAAACGTCAGCTTAGCACAAAAAAGGCATCGCAAAAAAACACAAATATTACAACAATTCATTTGCAATATATCAATGTTAAAGGCGTTTATTTAATATATTCTTTTTTGTTGACCTTAACAGTCTGTACAAATGTTTTGATTCTTCAAAAGCTATTGTGCTGTCAAACACTGAAAAAAAGAAAAGGTAAAAATGTAGTTGATAATTTTTTGTTGTTGTTATTAATTAGAAATTATTATTGTTTTTATTCGTTTTAAAGACGAAGAAGGTTGAAAACAGCTATTTATCGTAGACAAAAGAAAAAGTAAAGGTGGAACTTTTTTTTTGTCGAAATTAAATAGATTCAACAACATAAATTGAAAAAAATTGCACACACACAGAGGCATATAGAAATGATATATTTATAGAAATTTTTTTAGACGTTTTTGATTAGAAGCAAACAAAACAACTTATCAATAAAACTAACAGGTTTTCTGTAAAGTCGTTTCTGTATGACTTCAACCAACACTGGTGTTCGGCGACCTTTTTCAGCCTCAGTTTGTTCGACACGTAACAGATACTGCGGATTATTAGAAATTGGAACTGAAAAAAGACCAGTGATAAACTTATAGCAATTATCCTTTTTCTTTAGGCTATTGATAACAGCAACTGAATTCAACAAATAGCAATCAGTCATAAAAATAGCGTATATTGCTGACTTATGACTGATGAAACCTAAAAATTCTATGGTTCAGTCTTATTTTCGTTCACTGATATAACGAATTTGTAATCTTTCATTCTAATATTGCTGTTATTTCTTACTGATTTTTTACTATAGTCTTCTGCTTCTGCTTCAATTTACTTCTTCCCCTTTTCTCTTGTTTTTTTTTTGCACAGTATTGGAAGATTTTAGCCGACACAAATGTGTTATCAAATTATTTTTTCTTTATCTTCTAGTCGACAACTGTAACAGTTATAATTGCTGTACATAAACTACAATAGTTTTTCAAAACAACAGTATAATTTTTTTAATTCGGGTTAAAGTTCAACAAGTTCTTTTTTTTTCCTTACTCAACAAAAACTGTTAGAATTTGATGGATCTGTTACTTCAGTCGAAATATTGTCAGAATAACAGTGTTTCGTGAAACAAACGAAATTTGCTTCACTAAATAAAAAAAATTTACTAAATACAGTGTCTAGACAAGTTTTGACGATGTTTTTTTAGTAAAAATTAGTAATGCAAAAAAAATTTCTTTATCGAAAGAGTGTTCATGAAAAAACTGCTATATAGGCGACAGTCTCAAAAATGTTCTGCAGCCATTCGCAAACTTTCGCACTATTTGATGACGTTTAGGTCATAGAGCTCTGGTATTTTTTCTTCTCTTCTTACTGTCTAATTTTTAAGACGTATTAATTCAGCAAGTATAGTATTTGGAATAAATTTTATATTATGTTTATGTTTTCATATAAAAAAAATAACTTTTGCTACAAAAAAAACGATAACCTGTCATATCATCTACCTCCATTCCACATTTACTGTCCCAATGACCATAAGTAGAAATTGCAGACCATTTACAACTTCGATCGGTTCTTACACCTCCGATTATTTTACAGAGTTCATTTACATTATCATTTGCCAGAGTGCATACATTAATGCTGTCGAACTTGTTATAAAAATCATCCATACTCATCCTGAATAGTTGCTTTGAAAGTTCCTTCAAAAGGCGACAATTATGTATCAATTACCAAAATTCGCCATCTTCAGCGACAACCATCTCCAGTCTTTTCTTTTCCTTATCACTAACAAAATTCCACTCTTCAGATTCATCACCCCAGGCACCTGTCCACTGCATTTTTGATCCCCATGGATTACGAAGTCGAACAAGTTGAACAGAACCTTTAGTAGCATGTTGAACCTAAAATAAACTAAATTAATAGCAGCGGATTAACTAGTGATATAAAACATCTTGTATCTGATCAAAATGTTGCAGTTAGTTAAGATTTTTTAGTTTAGTTCAGCTACAAGTGTAACATCAACTATTATCTGTTGTTATATTACTTTTTCAAATCCGGTACAACTGTAAGCATGTAATGGAAACAGATTGTTTAGTCGATCTACGTTCCTCTCCTGTAATAGAACCTATCACTTGTTTTTTTGTCACAGAATTTCATTAGATGAATATAGCATTGCAACCCTTTACCCCGGTGCCACAGTTGACCATTGAACCTTCATAGAACATTGTCATTAGTAAAGCTGTAACAAACGATTCTCGATATTTGCCAATTTCATAGCACTCAACGACACCACCAGTGAGGTCTTCCATAACATCTGATATCAAACCGCCCATTAAACATTCATAACAACCATAAAGTCTATAAAACAAAAGTAATTTAGAGACAATTTAAAAGTGTTTTTGACAAACGGTTTATTAGTCCTTAATATCGTAAAAATTAAATGTCAAAAAAAAAAATAAGATGAACCAGGTCATTATCTATTACTTTGCGTAAGCTTTTTCCAAAAGAGCGCTCCAAAATTCATTTTGTTCGTCAGATTTCAAAAATATAAGTTTTCCATCTTTCGTCGGGAGCCGGTCATCAATTACCACATCAACCCAGCGGCCAAATTTCCAAAATTGAAAGTGAAAGATTCCTAAATTGACATTATGTATGATATATTCAGATTTATAGAAATATTAACAATTCTTACAGCTTTTGTGAAAAATTATCACAAGAAAAAAAATTATGTGACAAGTACGTTGAAAGGTCTATAAATAATCTAGTTTATGAGAATTGTTCTTCAATGATAGTTAGGTGATTACCGAATGCAGTAATTTTTGATTTCAGTTTATCTGTTAACAAATGATGCGCTGTAATTTTTAACCTTTCTGCTCACTAACGACATGTATTATAGTATTATACTTCAAAATTACTTCATTTTTTGACAGCTTTTATTGCAGCTAAAAACTCTATGTATGCTATACATTTATCATGTCTAGAAAAACTTAAAACCTGCATATTTGTCGGTGAAAGACTGGTTAATCGGTACAACCCGATAAAACAGTTCTTTATGCATCGCTAACGTAGCGACAGATGCAGCTAAGTAACAGTCACCCAACCCTCCTTGAACAACGTCAAAACGAGATTGACCGGCAACAAAAAATGTAGGGTTTTGAACAATTTCCTGTAAAACTTCTTTTTGAACAATTAGCTATTGTGTTTGTTATTCTGTGTCATATTGAATTAAACTTTTAAATAAACTTCTCGACAGAATTCCTCACATGAGGACGAAGCCAAACGCAATTATTGAATCTCCGCTGAAACGGTGACTTCACGCTCGCAGGCAGTGATGGATCAAGGAATAGGCTGTTATTGTTTGCTGGAAAAAGTGGATCTTCAAAGAGAATGTTTTTGTCTAGACACCGCTTACGTTCCTGGTCAAAACTCTGTTGAGAACCTTCCTCTACAAGTACTGAAGCTTTCAGTACTAAAGGCTGAAAATGAAATACGCTTTTTATATAAACAAAAAATAAATTTGTTTCATTTGAAATCATTCAACGATTAACGACATTTTTTAAACACTACACAGCATATCCGAACTAAAAGCGATAAATTCTACAACTTTAGTTCCAGACCTAAATGAATTTTTAAATTAGTCTTAGATATAAGGTTGACGACAAAGCTGTAAAAACCGTGACATCTTACGCGACATTAAAGTTTTAAAAAAGAAAATAAGGAATTATAACAACAAAATTTATAAAAAAAGATTTAAATTAACTTTTATAAACAAGAAAAAAATGAAGATTCACGTCTTACAGATTAACATACGTGTTAAAAATTAGTGTCTGAACGCAGATTATCAATTTTAAAACTATAATCCGTAAAGTTAAGCAGTTTCTTACTTTAGATCACATCTAAAAAAAGCTTACCTTCAGAAGACAGGGTTTAATGCCTAAAGATTTTTTATCGGTACTGGCCGATTTTTCATCAGTTTTGCCATCAGTGGTTATTCTTTCTTCCGCAGTGACATCGGCAGAATCTTCTGGCACGATATCCTCATATGGAAAGTGGCTAGCATCGTAATCGACAATATAATGCTTTGACACTTTCACGGGTTCTGTAATTGATGGAGTG